AATATGTGAGATACATTTTTTATCAGATTGTATAAAGCATGAAATAACCAAACCATGTTCCGTATATGTTCTACCAAAAGTTGTATATAAACTTGAAAAAGGGATCAACAAATTTTTTGGTAACTTATCTAGTAAAAGACAGAACTTATTATATTCACTCAAAAACGATCAGGATGTAGCATTATCAAAAAAATTCATTTGATAAGACTGAAAAATTCTGCATACAATGTTTCTTATTTCATTTTTCAGACGATCTATTATGCCAAGCTGTTTCGTACAAATTTGTAAATATCGAACCACTTACATATTTAACAATAGTGTCAGATATTTCTCATTTCCTAAGCTATGGTCGAAATAGATGACGGCATGCCGAAAAGACGAAAATTATAAGATTAAGGAGATGCTGGAGTGTTATGTTTTATCGATGAAGTGTGATTAATTTTTCTCGACTAATTTTTCTTAATTGCACTTATGGATTGAAAAGTTCTTCTTCACAATTAAAGTACCAACACTGGCTATCAGTTACAATTTAATATGAAAAATGAGAGAAAATTGTAGTTTTGTCACCGGTTCCTGCAGTCGACTCGTCACCATATATGTTACATAAGAATTTCAGATTTTCATTTTAAAATAAGTAGCCAGTAGCCTACAGAAAACTTTTAAGAACAATAGAAATTCTCTCTAGAAATAAGCTAGGGACTTTAATAAAAGAAAACGGAGTTGTGGAAAATTTCGTTCATATATTATACTACGAATAAAATTGACGTGAAGTCATGATATCGAGCATTATTATAGTTCCTTGATATTGCGACATCGGCGCTGTCATCAAATGTGCCTCACTGGATCACAGAAACTGGACAAAATATTTTCTCCTTAGTGGAAAAATTATAATAATAAAACAAATATGATATTAGTAAACTCGTAACTTTGCGTATACGTAATTTACAAAATATTCATACGTTTATCATTTGATCATCGATGCGTATTTTTTAAGACAACGTGCGAGCGTTCGTATTTAGATTCGTGTACAGTCATGGACTAAAACATTGCAATATTTTTTTTGATGGGTTTCGGAATACAACTTATTCACTGAGCAATTGGTTCTTATTCGTCGATGCATGAATAAGAATCAATTACTCGATGAGCAAACTGCGTTCCGAAATCCATCGAAAAAAGTGTTGCAACTTTTTTGTCACTGACCGTATGTATCTTTTGCGCGAATATAATATATGGCAACACTGGCACAGTATATAACACATGGGCTGAAAAGTCCCGAGCCTAACACAGAAATGGCGCTAGTTTTATTACATTCACCTCTTTTTCAGTGTGTGCTAATCTTCAAAAGACAGCTGTTAAAATTTCATGATATTCTATTCATTACTTTGTGAGTTATTGTGCTAAGAGTGACGCAACTTTTGTTTCATCAAGACAACGCACCGTGTCACAAGTCAATCAAAACAATGGCAAAATTACATGAATTGAACTTCGAATTGCTCCCACATCCACCGTATTCGCCAGATTTGGCTCCCAGCGACTACTGGCTGTTCGCAGACCTAAAGAAAATGCTCGCCGGTAAGAAATTTCGCTCGAATGAAGAGGTTATCGCTGAAACTGAGGCCTATTTTGAGGCAAAAGATAAATCGTTCTACAAAAGTGGTATTGAAATGTTAGAGCGGCGCTGGAATGATTGCATTGTTCTTAATGAAAATTACGTCGATGAATAAAATTAACTTTCAACGAAAAAAACCGTGTTTTCTTTGTTAGGCTCGGGACTTTTCAGCCCATGTGTTACAGTAGCGCAACTCTCCCTTTAAGTAACAAATATTACAATTTTGCATCTTTTTTATAATAATTAGATTTGTTCTTCTTGATTACACGGGAAGTATATAGTGTATACCATACAATTTTGATACAATCTACTTTTTGAGAGCAGAGGAAACGTCGTGTAAAATGTAGGCTTTTTAATGAGAACGTCACAGTGTACTATGTACAACTGTTTATGCATGATGTTTATGTTTAGAGTTGGTGAAAAAGTGAAATGTAATTTTTTTAAATTTATTAACTATATTATTATGATTATCACAAAATGAAATTAATGCAGAAATTCTTGGTCACATTTTGGAGCCTGATTTGGCATCGGATGAAGAAAATTATGACGAGATTATCCTTGAACTATTTATTTTATTCACTGTAAATGGTAAGAAACGACATTAAATGATTCTTTACTTACTACATGTGGGTACATTTGTTTAACCTCTGTATAATGTAAAAATATTGTCTCAAAATATTGTTTTTTAGATGAAGACGGACAAATATTAGAACCAGTATTAGGAGCTGTTCAAAGAGCACATCGCGTAAAAATTCTTAACTATACAACACCTATAGGCTTGTACAAAAAAATACTATATAAGTCAGAATCTGCTATTCTTGCCAATCTATCGTTCGACACTGTTCTGGATTCTTGCCGAACAACCGAGAGTCTCACCAGTCTCATCGCAGTTCGTTAAGTTCATTCTCAGTAACAGTTAGTCTTAAATATTTTTCATACTTCTCTTCAGTTTTATTTTTTATTATAATATCTTATAGGACCATATATATGAGAGTGTAACTTCAAATAATGCCTTAAACAATCTAGCTGGATCTGAAATGCTTAAGATTTTAAAACATTTAAATATTTTTATAATCACAAAATGGATGAGATTAATGCAGAAATTCTTGGTCACATTTTGGAACCTGATTCGGATATATGTATTCGGAGATATGTATTGAAAGACTCCAGTAACGTATTAGTACATTCCTTATCAATTGTAAGGGTGATGAAATCCACATAAAAACACAAAGTAAATATGATCCTATTCAAATGTATATAATTTGATTAATCAAGAGTGAAATTTAAAAGAAATTCTTTTAGTTATATTATATTGTATTTTATGCTATTTAATTAAAATATTTTTTATCAAAATAATAGAGTTATATTACAATTGTGGTTTTATAGAAAGTGCCTAAAATTAAATAAATGAGGATTAAAGTATTATAATTACTGATGGAACGGTCGAAGCAATTTTTTTCATTATGCGACATTACGAGTATTCCTGTAAATAATTTAAACTTTAAATTTATCCTGGCGTAAATCAAATATATTCCACAGGTACCTCTTGTTCATTTTTAGTAGAGCACACACACACACACACACACACACACACACACACACACACACACACACACACACATTCGCCGTAGATGCTTCAAAATATGAAATACACCCATCCATCCCAGTTCTCAAGCTTTCGCTTTTCTTCGCTATTCGCACACACACAGAAAGCTAAAATTTATTATATATCAAAATTTATTTTTAAATTATATTTTATATTATGTGTACCATATGTTTATGTAAATATATATCTGATTAATAAAATGCTGAATACCAAGCATATATACTTTATATTTTATGATAACAATGATTAATAATAAATAATAATAATAATAATGACAGTAAACATAATAAAACAATAAAAGGATAAAAATACTAATAAAATGTTAAAAATAACATCAATAATAAAACGATAAAAATTACATCAATAATAAGTAAATACAATTTATTATAACCTCTCACATTTGAAATAACTGTCCACCTTTGTTTCGCCCCGAGGGATCACACGTTTGCTGAAAGGGACACTTTTTATGAAAAGCATTTGCAAGACTACGGATTCAATGCAGGCAAATAGGGAAGCACGCCGTAAGCTGACTATTCTACCTACAAAATACGGTCGTCCCTCTTCGTCAATCGATTTATAACTACTTTCACGAGGCAGTTCAATCCCGCTTGAATCGAAGGATGTCTCTCGCAAGCATACAATATGGATTCCTCGCCATTTACACGCACATTCGCGCAATTGTTCGAATCAAAGGGTGTCTCTCTCAAGCGGAATCCTAAATATGGATCCCTTTTCATTTGCACGCACATATTTGCACGGTATGTGAGCAGCGAGGAAGAACGGCGCGCAATGAAAGGAATTACGTTGGCAAATTAGCGTAAGGAGCGTAAGGAATTACGCTCGCAAAAAGGAATATTGGCTATAGTCAGCAGAACACAAAAATTTTCAACCGTTTTATGATTGCTCACTGTGGGAGACTATTCCTCTAAATCTAAAGATATTTCTATACAACTCGCAAATCGCAAAACATAGTTTACAAATGTAGACGCAGAATGATCACCGCACGCAAGACAAACTGCATACAATGAAAAAACAAACGCAAATCTTCATTCTGCGTTTGCGTTTGCAAACTACGTTTTACGATTTGCAAATTATGTAGAAGTACCTTAAAAGTATCCGCGTGAATCAATCAGCGTGAAGAAAACTTTAATCAGCTGCAAAATAAACATTCTGAATATAGCTATTATCAAAAAGAATCTGCAAGACTTCATTCAATAAAGAAATATAGAAAAGCGCGCGTCCGTGCCTGATTCGAGTCTGTACAATCTGACTCCAAAACACAAATTGTTGTCCTCCTGTTATCAATTGTTCCGCCTTTTTTTCTCGGAGCAGTTCAATCGCGACTTTTTTTCTTGGAGCGGTTTAGGTACGAATGCAGACTTCCCTATATCGCGACCGCGCTAATATGTGTGCGCGAAGATGAGGAAATCAATAGTGTTACGAGAAACAATATCAGCGGCGTTTACAATGAAATTTTAAAATATGAAACTTAAACTTTAAACTTTAAGCAGTAAGAAATTGGCTAATCAGTCGAATGTAAGGAGAATAATTAGCTATGATTTGTCAATTGCATTTTTGTATATTTAAATATATTTTTATAAGAAAATTTATATTCGTAACTATTACATTGTAAAAATGTTTTAGATACTCACATGCTCCAAGGTAAAAATATTTAACCGAACAAAGTACAAATTTCTTTTATAATGTTAAACGTACGTATTATCTATTGAATATTATGTGTTTCAAAACTACAAAACAATCGGTTTCATGTATTAATTGTCAATTTCAACAGCGAAAGAGCGTCAAGATTTATACTCATTTCTATTTTTTGCATGAAAGATCGATTCGTTTTATCTAAATCTCGAAACTTTGGACGACCCCTCTGAGTATCTCGCTAAAAAAATTCCGTTGGATTAATTCGGTCGTTATTTGTAATTACATCGTTAACGCAATCAGCAAAAAGATACGATAAAAGAAAATTAAACGGCCATCAAAACCGGTGCATCGACTTATTGCTCGATAATCTGACTTCAAAACAATATAAAAATTTTTGAAGTAAGCGCTATCTTGTGAGATACGGTAGACTTTATCAAAAAATACTTTAATGCGAAAAACACTTCAAATTTTTTTTAATTTTATTTAGTGTTAAAATTATATGTTCACAATAATTTGCACATGTATTATTTTTATTAATAGATAGATAATTGAGTCTATTTTCCTTATCGAAAGTATTACTTGTGAACTATTTCTTTAGCAGTCTCAAAGTCTTCGAGCGTAAAGACACGTTCAAACTTATTCTTGTCTATGCGACCTATTAAACCAATAAACGAGCTTACGAGGGTCAATAAGTATTTAATGCGTCGATTGACCTCTTAGCGATTCACAAAGTTGCTTTTTGTCTGTTGTAATCCGCATTTCTAAAAACGAAAAGGATGAGATGCGATAAAAAAAGCTTTTATCACCGTTTTTTATAGTTTGAAATTATTTACAAATCATAAAATAAAATACGCATGCTACGGGTTTTAATTTTCATCAAAAGAAATTTTCATTATATTTCACAATTATCCTCAACCAAATGAAAATATTGTTTTATGGGACAATATTTTATTTTACAATAATATATTTTGCTAGAACTTTTATTATATATTTTTACATTTTATTAATTTAAAAATTTATTTTTATTTTATGTTATTAATTTAACTTATTTAATTAATTGCTCGTTGAGTTAAAGTAATCTCAAAGAATTCTACAGCTCGCAGATCTGCAAGAAACGTCCTGAAAGATGTTCTGAGAACGTTTCAATGTTCCGAAAAAGATCTCTAGGATAAAATGTGCAGTACGATATTAGAACAAAATCAAAAGCGTTGTATTAGATTTTTAAATTACGTTTAAAAATTAGCTGGCGACCTAAATTATAGATATCATATTTGAAAAAGAAATCTGATTTTTATCTAACATAATATATTGTTTATTAACAGTATTTGCATTGCGATTAATAGGGTCAGCGATATAAAGCAGCAATTGCTTATAGCGATTTTATTTAGATATGAGCATAAAACGATAATCCACCATGATCTTGTATCATCGAAACTAATTTGTAAAATTGCATTAATATTAAATAATGATTTTAATAATAAAAGACAGTTACTTCCGATTGTAGTTTCTCTTTAGTGAGTGTGAAATACATATCAAAAATTTATTGTAACTTTTACCGCTTTGTCGATTTCGTTATCGCTTCTACTTCTAGATTTTCAGATTCTAGAAAATGATATATTACTTTTGAATATTTGGCTTAAAAATTAGATATGATACATATCGTGCACCAAAGAGAACATATAGCTAAAACTGCGCTATGGTTAAATAAATTGTTAAACTATTAACTAACGGAGAGCTTTTAATTACTTGACTGAAAAGTATTTCTTCTCAGAGAGATCCGATAACGCACATCGTTAATTGATCAATTTAATCCATTTAGTTATCAAAGAAAGCTCCGTGAGCTTTTGATTCGTCTTTGCTCGAATCAAGGGGGTCTTTTGCGCAGACATAACAATATTATATTTAAGTTCATTATGTTAATTTTACTTTCATTTTTATTATGATATAATATATTTCACATTTATTGAAGAATATTTTCGTTAAAACAGATCCTCATGTTTAACATTCTTGCTACAGGTATATACATTTAAATTATTAATGTGCAAATAGTGAAGCATTCTTAACTAATTTACTTATAAAAATCTGGAGACATGATAGTGTCTCGGTGCAAGCATTATGTAAGAAAATTACAAGCAAGTAAAAAATCAAAATTAGAAATTAAACTTTAATTCTTTGCAGTCGTAATGCTGTTACTCGAATTTCAATGAAGCGCGCGTCCATGCAGAAACCATGTTTAAATCTGTCAAAAATATAATCGTTTTGTTATCATCGTAGAGAACGTTCCACAAATACATTATCAATGCCTGCTAGAACCAAAGGGATACCTCTTTGTTTGCACAAATTATGTAAACGGTTTGTATAATACAAATATAAATGAGTATCAATGCCTTTCCACCAATTGTATATCTTCGATTAAATATTATAATAGTGATATGCAAATTAAACATTATAATAACAATATTCTCTAATTGCGCCTTAGTGTGATAATATCTTTTATATTTTTTATTAAATCGAGATATTCGTATGATATTATAACAAATATTATAATTAATCAATTATATGTCATAATTAAACAATTACTTATAATTATTATGGTGTAATAACAAGATAGAAAAATGTAATAACAATCTCTACATCACTATGATTCAGTAACAAGAGAAATAAAGAAAAAGGGAATTAAATAAGTTTTAAACAAAGATATTTTACAAAATATTTGGCATTTATTTAAACTATAATATAAAATGACCAAAATAAATTATATAAAAATGCACGTTGATGTGTGATATTGTAAACGTCGAACCCATAACAGTTGATAATACTGGCTTTGACTAGTGATCTAAAATTGGTATAGTTATCGCCCAGCGAGAAGAGATATCTACTTTCCTTCTTGCTTATCCCTCAAAACCGTGGATATTTCGAATATTAGAGCCCTAACTAATTATGGCACGGGAGAATATGATAATATTGACGAGTACATAATAGTACGAAG